ATAAAAATGGATGTATCTAGAACTAAAATATGTCTAGATGCATCCATTTCTCTGACAAGTATTTTCGGACGGATGGAGTACTAAACACTTTGTTTGGTTGTGTTTGCTACGTTCTTCACGCACCAAACTGTCTAATCAATCTGTTGAATATCTTCTTAGGTTACAGTGATGAGCACAACGACTATCGGTGTTGGGATCTTGTCAGTCATCGGATGCGCATTTCTCGAGATGTGACTTCTCATTGAGTCTCATCCTTTTTATGCACGTCCATCCTCTGCTTCGCCCCTCCCAATTGAGGATACTTCCCTCAATTTTCCCGATACACTTATCACTCATTTATTGCCCTCGCCCACCTATCCCAGCGTGTCCTCCCGTACTACTATTATAGACCCCACACGTCGTCACATGCGGCTTCCCCACCTCGTTCATTACTTGAGGCTACCTCACCTGGCTCGTCCATGAGGCTTCCCTGATGATTCCCCTTCATCATCTTCTTCACTACACTTGTGGTCCGCGTGTTATGGATCCTTCTGACAAGCCATCTCCCTCTACTACAATGTCCTCTCCTGTTGGCAATGCATCACCTCCAGCTCAGCCTACTTATGGCTTTCGAACTCTCGCTTCCGCCTATTGACCACTATGGTTATTCTGGGCCCGCTTTTCTCGAGACGACTTCTTATCATGACGCATTTGTTCATCCCGAATGGCGGCATGCGATTGTAGAGATTGTTGCTCTTGTGCGCATCGGCACGTGGGATGTTATTTCTCTTCCTCCCCATGCTCGTCCCATCGCTTGTAAGTGTGTCTATAATGTTAATACACTGATGGTTCTCTTGAGTGTTACAAAGCTCATCTAGTGGCGCAAGGCTTTCCTCGGGAACATGGCCAAGACTACAATGAGCATTTTCTCCCGTGGCCTTCGCGCACTTCTCATTGTGGCCTATGTTCGCCACTGGTCTGTCTCTCAGCTTGATGTTAGGAATGCCTTCCCTCTCTCATATCATTAAGTGTTTGGGAGTGAGACTAAGAGAAATACAAGAAAGGAGACAATTACTAGCGTATTAGGGGATTGAGGCCCAAATAGAACTGTTGAGATGCCCATTACCAAAATGGTTGGTGCATTCTTATCCAACGCTTTTGATGCAAACAAGACCGTGTGGGATATCATCGATCCATGCAATTATTTTCATGACGGTTATCATCTCTGGATACTCAATACAACAATAGTTGCCCGATTTTGCCATCAAGCATGCTCGCCGAAGATGTGTCTGATGTACGGGGACGAACATATTAACTGTTTTAGCAAGCATGTGGTGGCAGTAATGTGGATGCTCCACATAGTTGCAGCTTGTCGGGTTTGACCACACGCCAAAGATGCGGCTAGCCTTCACCCTACATCGGTTTACAATGGTACGCCCCCTCTTACTACATCATATGGAAAATTGTAGTATTGAGTTGATTTCTCTTGCCCAAGCAATTGCAGTTTGTATTGAAATTACGCTTCTCTAGCCCGACAAAAATAGTTCAGTTTCAGTGTTAATGTGCAAAAGATATAATCACCATAAATATTGAAAAAAATCTGAATATTCTAAAATATTGCTATCATGGCAACTTTAGTTTAATTCAAAATAAAGATATATCTACTAGTGGTCGTTATGTTTCTTCTTCGCAGTTTACCCTTCTATTGTTTATCCAAAAGATATAACCACAAATAGAAAAATCTGAATATTCTTCTTTTTCCTCACAACGTTGAGCAATAATAACCACCATAAGAGTATGCTAATAAGGCATATTCCCTTACTGATAATCCAAGAGTTAATGTTTCTTTTCTTAACTGACAAGAACAGAAACCAAATTTAGGATGTCTCTGATTTTGTCGGCTTCTATAAAGACAGTATAATGCAACACAATTACACGTCTTCTACTATGCAGTCACCTATACTTATGGTTCTCTTTCCCTCGAAGTTTATTTCTACTGTTATGAGACCATAGTGCATCTGAAACTATTTATCAAGCTTCAGTCAACCCATAGGCTTTGAGGTAAGTTTATAACGTTATTTGTTTGTTCTCAGGTATATAATCCTAGTTTTTGGAGAAACACGCACAATCCAAATCAGAGCCGTCATATGCTAGATTGTGTCGTGCAAATAAAGGGAGCTATATCGAGGGGGGTTATCTCGATGGGATTACAGTTCACTAAGAAATCCGAGAGTATTTGCCTCTAGAAATGAACATTGGGCCCAGAACATCAGAACTGTGCGTGTCTTTCAACAAAGTTAGAACTCAATTTTTTTTTCTAATATTATATAAAAGAATGGTGGAGCTTCTTAAGCCGGGAGCTAAGCAATCAAGGAGTAGTATATCTGGTAGGTAGGAACATAAGTTGTTGCTTTGGTAGTGGAAAAAATAACTAACAGAAACCATGACTATGTTAATCAGGCAACCATGTTAAGTAAACAAAACCCCTCTTTTATCTAGTAGGCAGGAAGATAGGTTGTTGAATAGTACTGCAAGAGAACTGGGAAATAATGCAAAAAACAAACTGATAATATTGTACTAAGTGATTTACAAAAACGGTCAAGCATTTCCATACCTGATGATTTCATGAACCTTTTATATCATATTGTATTCAGGAGCGTAGCTTTCAGACCAAACACCTTATAAGCGCAGTTCCAGATGACAAAAATTGTGTCGTATTTCAGGTGCACTGATTTTTAATATTGGAGCTGAGACCTGTCACGAGCAGAGTTAAGGCATAATCTATTCCACTAAAAAAACAACATATTTCCTGTTTTGCTCAGTACAATTTCATTATCACAGTTGAGACCTATCTTGAACAGAGTTAAGGCATAATCTATTCCATTAATCAAATGTTTTCCTGTTCTGCTTAGTACAATTTCATTATCACAGCTGAGACCTGTATTGAGCAGAGTCAAGGCATAATCTATTCCATTAATCAAATGACCTTTTTCCTATTCTGCTCAATACAATTTCATGATCCATATACTAGCAATTTTTATCAACACAAAATTTCTGGAGATTAGAGCAATTATGCAAGAAGGAAAGCAATGGAAATATTAATGATTTGAAAAATAAACAAAGCAGGGTCAAAAGAGACGTCACACTTACATAGTGATTGCTTCTGCAGCTAACATCTTCTATCACAATCATCATAGCACCAGAATGCACTTGATCATAGTGCGGTCCATGTCAACTTGAGATCCTCGATAGTTGATATACAAATGCTCAAAGATTGCCCCTTTAAACCCAAACCGAGGTACATATCCCCAATCCATGTGGCTGCACATAACAAGTGGAATTTAGAAGGATATCGCTGGAACACATAGCCATAGGCAGGCAGGGAATGGCTGACTGAACATGTGACTTGTCCGGTCATCCCAGCGCATTGCATGCTACTGAGCTGTGCAGTTTACCCAGTAAATTAACCAACCCCACACAATCGAGCAACAGATCGGTAGAAGAACAGCTGCTGCATAAACCGTGAACCACACAACTACTGCATTGCCATTTAGTTACCAAATGGCGGTGCAGAGTAGATCTATAGCAGCAACAGTCTGGATTCTGAAATTCTATAGCCACTTCACTGCATCCAAGGCCGCTAATCTTATTAATCGTTACTACCATATGGATTCGCTTGTCCTAACAACGCAATGTAATGTATTGTTGTTCATGGCAGCATGTATGGTTGTTTTGGTTCTTGAAGGGGGGATGTGTGGTTGGTTCAGTACCTTTCTTGGACGCAGTAGTTGTGGTCGGGGGAGCAGGCGTTGTCGAGGTCGTCGCAGGGCTCCTCCCCACCGCTGCCACCATCCATGGATTTGGATACTCAGATCAGAAACAAATGACAATACAATCGATGGATACCAGACAGGAGTTGAAGGGCACGCACAGTCGTCGTTGAGGGTCGCGCACGCGGAGGCAGCAGCGGAGACGTGGCCGCGGAAGCGCCGGCAAGGAGGAGGATCTACGACCTCGGGGCACTCCGCCTGAGCGCCGTACGGGAGGGGGCTCGCTGTCGTTCCGCGCCCAGCCGTCCACGGCGCCGTCGTCCTGCCTGGTGCGAGGGGACGGGCGGCGCCGTCCTGCTCCATCCCCGCGAACTGAGGCGAGCAAGAACTGGGCGAGGCGGCGGAGATGGACCATCTCCGTGGCGTCTAGGGTTTCGCGTGGTCAATATGGACTCTCCCCTCGGTGGACTGGCCGGCGGCCGGTTTGGATGGAAGCCGAACCTGACCCCCTACTCCGCTGTGAATCGTACACGAACCACGGAACCAGGCGAGCGAGGAAGATAGGTGTACGCGTGCCTGAGTGCGGGGAGGGACGGCGGACGAAGAATTCGGGACGGCCGACGGCGGAAGCGACGGGATGTGAGAGACGGGGATGAGGGGAGACGGCGGCGGCGGATTGTGTTGGAGACGGAGGAGACGGACGAGTGCTTGGTGTGGGAGACGGACGATTGCGTGGGCTAGTGGGCTGGGTTTTCCTTTCCTGTGTTGAAGAACAACTTTGGTAAGTGGAGGCCACGCACCAACGGTCAGAAAAAATAAATACTGCAGCGCCTTACTGTAGCTTCTGCCTTCTCAAAAAAATACGGTAGCTTGTGATTCCAAAATTTGTGAACGAAATTTTAAAAAAGAGCGAACCTTATTATTTGAAACTTTTGAACCATTTTTGGAATTTCAAACATTTTTTAGAAAACGTGAACAAAAAACAAACATTTTTTGAATTTCAAACATTTATTAAAAAGTGTGATGAATTTTAGAAATTCCAAACAAATTTTGAAAAGCATGCAGAATTTCTAAAACTGTGAACAAAAATTTGAAATGCTGATCTTTTAAAAAAATGAATATTTATTGAAATATTTGAACATGTTTTGAATTTTCGAACCCTTTTGAAAAACATGAAAAAATATTTGAAATTCTGAACATTGTGTTTGCTGTCGCAAAACTCCTATGCGATGCCCCGACTATTTGACGCAAAATGCATCAAATAGTGAATTCCTAGGAGGCGGACAACGTAAAAGAAAGTGATACAGACAAACAAATTGGAGAAACAAACCTTCTTTCACATCTCTACTACAACCTATATCTATACCATTGTTATATAATTCCCTCTCCCTTTTATTAGCAAGTGATGATGGTTACATCTTCAACGAGGAAGAAACTTCGATGGGGCATCATCCATCCACACGCAAGAAGAAGCTCTCATGGGCATCCTAACTAGCTCATGAGCTACGTCATTATAAAAAAAAGTATGAGGAAACTTGCAAGCAAGATTGTAGTAGTCATCGAAAATCACCCTCGCTATCCGCATTGATCAACCTTCATTCTTCATAGTTTCCACGGCTTTTAAGTTGTCCAAGTAAATCATCAACTTGTTGCATCCCACTTTGGCCATAAATAAACCATAACGCAATGCCATAGTTTCAGCAGATAGTACATCTATACACATGTCAATCTTTCAGTTAGCATCAGTTAGTAAATTACCAAATGAATCACGAAGGACACAGGCCCAGATCGATGCACCTTTTATGTGGTCTTGATCAAAAGCTACATCCGCATTAACTTTTGACAAAACCAACTGGTGGCTTAAGCCATCCATTTGTCTTTATCATTGCCTTTCGAGCTAATGAAGCGACAAAATTCATTGTTAAAGCTTTGATGTATGATACTATCTCTACTCTTAAGAGAGCAGTTGATAGTCTCGCTTTCAGGTTTTTTTTAGTCCCACCTCTCACGGTTTTTTTTTGTCCTAAAAAATCTACGAAATTTCGTAGGTTAACTAAGGACAACTCCCACCTTCCAAGTTTTTTTTCGTCCCACCTCCCATGGTTTTTTTGATACCTCGTCCCACCTCACACTAAGCCGCCACGAACCGCAAAAATCGCCTACCTTAGCCAAATCAACAAATCTCTCTCATTAATGCAATTTTCTTTAGGAAACAAATAATAGATTCTTTCCTACCTTAGCCAAATCAACGGATCTCTTCTATTAATGCAATTTGCTTTAGCAAACAAATAATAGATTCTTTCCTACCTTAGCCAAATCAACGGATCTCTCCCATTAATGCAATTTGCTTTAGCAAACAAATAATAGATTCTTTCCTACCTTAGCCAAATCTACGAAATCTCTCTCATTAATGCAATTTGCTTTAGGAAACAAATAATAGATTTTCAGGAAACAAATAATCTCTAATCTCTCATAATTTCTACTCCTAATGAAGCAGTTGGTAGTTTCCTCCCACCTTCCATGGTTTTTTTGGTACCTCCTCCCACCTTCGCTGGGTTTTTTTCGTAGATTTTTTTGTCCCCTCCCCTCACTTCATCGGTTTATTTTCGCGTCACCCTCTCACACAACGAAAGAAATCTAAACAAATCAGAACTTTCCATACTGGCGCAAGTTATTTAGTAATGTAGAATCAATCACGAACAATCTCTAAAGATCAAATCTAAATTAATTAACCTTACCTTAAATCATTCAATTACATTAATTAGAAAACAAATAATTGATTTTCAAAAAATCGCTCAATCACGTAAACCTTACCTTAACTCACGGATGGTAATCAATCTCCAAACAAAGGAAACAATACATCGAGGGAGCAGTAAATAAACTCCCTTTCTTATGACATGTATATGACCTTTCCTTCCCTCTACGTTGTCGAGCGTTCTTGATTCTCGAGGCCGATGCTTGGGCTGCGTCACTGGGTCGCGACGGTGCTGGAGGACGAGGACGGCGAGGCCGGGTGTCGCGGCACCGCGTTGGCCGCGGCCGGTGAAGGAGGCAAAGAAGGGCGGCTTTCCTGGCCCTGGCCATGGCCGTGACCCTGGGAGTTGGTGCGGTGGAAGTGGCACTTGAAGGACACGGCATGGGTGGCCGACGCGCAGACGCGCTTGGAAGCGGGCCCGTGGCCCGTGCCGGACGGCGCCGACGCCGACCCGGGCCACCTCCTCCGCGTATTCTTGGAGCTGTGGCTGGCCGATTTACATGAAATTAATTCCCTCAGTTGTGGTGGCAAATATAATACACATAATCCATATTGTTATGTACTAGCGTGTGTGTGTGAAATAGATGGATTATGGTCCCGTACCCAATAAGATGGATATGTGTGTGTGTTAGAGAGAGAGAGAGAGGGAGAGGGGGAGAGAGTGAGGAAGAGGGAGGCAGAGAGTGTGTGTGAGGAATTGATGGTAAAAAAGGTCGCCAATGTCACTTGATATATATGAGAATATTAATATTGAACTTTTAAAGTTAATGTGGCCCCGTTGCAACGCACGGTTGTTCTTCCAGTTTTATTATAATTCTGTGTTTGCTCACCATGGACAATTTCCCTTATTTCCCATAAAAAATACCAATAGGCGATGGCTATTATTTCAAGTATATTATTTTGACCGAGAAGACCAAGCTCTTTGTATCGGAGTCTGAATCAAAAAATCCATTACAGCTTCACCCGCCTTATCGATGTTGCACGCCCTCTTGATATATAATCTCATCCAACCATAAATGACGCCATACCTCGACCGCTTTGTTGCATTTAAATAGTAGGTGAGTTACATCCTCTGCACCTGCATTGCACATGGGCATTGTCTAGAAACCATAATGTGTCGATTGGGAAGATTGACTCGGTAGGGAAGCGTCCTCCTTAAGGTCTACATAAAAAGATTTTCACCTTAGTTGAGAATTGTAGTTTCCATATTTTCTCCCAAACTCCATTCAGACACATAGACTCAATTCCCTTTGCACTCCTGAATTTCTAGCCACGTTTGGTGGTCCCATTTTCGCGTGATATGCTGAACGGACTTAGAACAATCCAACCCACAAAATCATCCATGTAGCAGGCAATGAAATAGACAAAACACGCTAAACATCTATTTGTCAAAAAGTTAGAGTTACCAACTCCCCATCCCACTACCTCGTAACCGGATCAATAAGGTCATTAACCTAGGCATAATTCATAGTGGCATCATAGCCATAAGCATAGCAAGCATCAACTTCATCAAAAAGGGATATTTCAAATTAATTCAGGGGATCATAGCATTCATCAACGTAGCATTCATCCGCCGGTAAGTACGAAGGAAAATTAAAAAAATGTATGAGTTAAAGAGTTACTCTCGTTAGAAGGTGGGCACGGGTGATCAATCTGTTCTTCCTCCTTTTTTTCTTCACTCCCCTCTTCATCTTTTTCATCTAATGAGCTCACAGTTTCACTAATTTATTTTTCTATATATTCCTGCAAAATATTAATCTCTTCCAGGGCAGCAGATATTCTCTCAATAAATTCATTAGTATGAGCATTGTACCCATAGTTTTCTTATTAATATTTAACTATGGCAAGATTTTCAAGCAAAGAGACAATTTTATAAGCACCCTTAGAAGCAACGAGTTCTTCTATTTGTTTCACATCATACTTATCATATACACCCTTAGCGTAATAATCCAAGGTTTTATTACCATTAAACTCACATTGAAAGGGAAGATGGTTAATTCTCATTTTAGAGCAACAGGTAAAATCATACATAGAGCACAAATTCCAAACATTACAATGTAACATTTTTATTTGATTCCAAGCATACTAGTTGTCTATTCTAGAGCAATAAGTAAAATCACACATAGAGCACAAATTCACGGCGGAAGCGACGAGATGTGAGAGAGGGAAAAACGATGGGGGGGGGGAGCGACGGTGGATTGGTTCCTCAGTTCCCACCTAGTGTTCGTGTTGGAGACGGACGACTTCTTCGTGTGGAAGACGGACGATTACGTGGGCTACCGGGCTGTGTTTTTTTTGTCTTATCCTTCGTGTTGAAGAACAACTTTGGTAGTGGAGGACGGGAGCTTCCTGTATGCCCTTCTGGGCCGGCCCATGTGGGGCGCAAGGTTCCCTCCTATTTTTTTCTTCGAGATTTTGAAAACAATTCTGACTTTCAAAAACGTTCATGGATTCAAAAAAAACTTCTACCGAATTCGGAAAAAGTTCTAGAGTTCAAAAAACTTTTGGGATTTCAAAAGAATGAATAATTTTCAAATTTTTATGAACAATTTCTTGACGGCGCCCTACGCGCCGAATAGGAATCCCGTGGAGGCGGGGTCGTCCTATATGCCACATTTTGTATCGTATAGCACCAGCATGCACAGGCGGGCAGCGAACTG